CCTCCCCCACCGATTCTCTCTGTGTATGCAAATATTATATTGTTTTAAAATTGCTCTTTAGGCCGGAAATTCCATCTGATTTCTGTCTGACTATGAGTAATGTTTTACTAATAATCAGCATTTTCCATGATTACCATATGATTCTTTAGTTAGGTACATATTAATACATTTTAACTTTCTCGGTTAAATCCGTTAACACGTTTCATCATCTCAACTCTTGTCAGTTTAAGACATTCACACAAGTATGTGAATTCGAACAAAAAATATGATTAAAGGCACGATTGTTGTAAATGAATTCAAGAAACTGAATTTAAGAAACGACAATAACAAACAATTTATTCATGAGATAAATATTTGCAGGAACACGTGTCTATTATCACACAAAAGGTTCTTGCAGCTTCTCATGTATACACGGTACTACTCTAACCCTAAAACACTTAATCTATTTCAGGTAACTGTACTGCTACTCTCATTTTTTTTTCTAAATTTTATAAAACTTAAGCATACTTACTTAAAACTTATTCTTAAGAATTCATTAACGAATAAACAAAAAATATTTGGAGACGTTACACTTAGCATTCATTTTTTTTCTCATTGTCATGATTCGCTTCTAAAAAAGGAAGAAAATATCTGTTGGTTTAGTAACAGAAAAAAAAAGAAAATAACGAGAATAAGGGAGAGCGAGGGAACTGAACTTGGAGGTCGAATCAGCCAAGTGAACTTCCTTGCATTATCTTTTTTTATAATCACGGTCCCTGCTGCTATTGCTATGTTTGATTTGCGTGAAGGTTGTTTATGTGGATTTGTTGTTTTTGGTTTTTGTTTACTGGAGGATTGTTTAAGCTTTTTTTTTCGTTTTCCGCTTTTTGTTTACTTGAAAGTTGTTTATGTGTAGTTTGTTTCATTCTATGTTGTTTGCTGGAAGGTTGGTAATGGTTCTGTTGATTTGTTTATGCATAATTTCGTTTTCCTTCTATTTTGTATATGTATTTTCTTCTTTCAAAATTGTGTATGTATATTAATTTTGTTTTCATTTATTTGCTGGAGAGTTATAGGGGATTAGGTATTTCTTCCCAACTTATTATTTTTTTAAATTCTTTTCATCATATTAACAAGACGGTGTACATGTAAACAGTAACATCCAAACACGCGGAAAAAAAACTAAACACTAAAGGCAAAGACATTTATTTGTTGTTCTTTGTGCAGTGACATCTGTTTTCTCAGGCTGTCATGTTCTCATAGACCGAAAGAGAAAAGGAGATCCATCAGAAAATGAATATGCGGGCGGTGCAGATGACGTCACGATCAGCCATAGATGCCAGGGTCTTGGATCGTCCTATGATGGAAGGCAATTGTTGTCTGCCGGATCCCTGAACCCTTTGTTGGGGGGAGGGGGGCGTCGGATACCCTCATGGGTCGAGATACGGTTGTGAAAGAGGACCGACATCTTGAGTTACAATTGAAGGGAGTTGAAGGGGATGATGGGGGGGAAGATAGGAGGGATCTTTGTGAATTTAGTGAAGGGGGACTGTGCGTGAGAAGGGCTGTCTCGGTCTGTCTGTTACGGTTTCTGACGCGAAGTATTCTTTCCTATTGCTTGTTCTGTTTCTCCATCGCGTCTTTATTTCTCTGTTTTTCTTTCTCCTCCTCTTCCTTCTTCTTCTCTGTCTGTCTGTCTGTCTCTCTCTCTCTCTCTCTCTCTCTCTCTCTCTCTCTCTATCTCTCTCTCTCTCTTTCTCTCTCCCTCTCTCCCTCTTTTTTCTCACGTTTCTCTCTTAACGCTGAATGAAGAACATCTACATAATACATTACATAATAACCATTTATTTCAACATTGTCTCCCCCAGAGAAAGCAAGGACGGGGCAGAAGTGTACAGCGAGTGTCAGCAGTACAACATCACCCTCAGTGACCTTGACCTAACATCTGACCTTGCTAGTTTTACAGCGAAGGTCGATGCTACGTATGACCGCATAGGTAAGTCTGTTGCAAAAGTTCTCTTTCACTTTCCCGACATCTTTCATTTTGCTGATTTTTTTTCTTTTTTTTTTCGTATCCATGGTTACGGTGTCTTTTGGTAAATTTTCGTTCTATCTAATAACCTTTTCCTGTAGAACTTGATTGTGTTAATTTTTTAAATGTATTTTTATATTCTTATTTGTATGTTGAAAGTTGTTAGCTGGAAATATTACTCACCAACGTGTTTATTGTATATGAATCATCCTTGGTGTTTTTTTGTTTCAATGTAATAATAATGATAGTAATAATGATAATGATAATGATAATTATGATGATAATGATGATTATGATGATGATAATGGTAATAATAATAATGATAATAATAACAATAACAACAACAATAATAACAATAATAATAATAATGATAATAATGATGATAATAATAATCTTGATAATAATAATACTAATGATGATAATAATGATAATAGTTTTGATAATAATAATAACAATAATTATAATAATAGTAATAATAGTAATAATAAT